GTCACAGTAGCCACACGTGCTTCAGTATCCACATGGGGCCAAGGCTACCATATTAGATGACACAGATATTGAACATTTCTCTTATCACAGAAAGTTCTGCTGGACAGTGCTGCTCCAGAGTCAGTCTGCACATTTTCACATTATCTGTAGAGTGTTAAGTTAGGAATAGAGTGAGAAAACTTAACAGCCTCCTGACATTAGGAGAGACAGAGTGGTTGGTGTTTATGAGTAGAGGGCAGAGAATATATATTTACAGTGGTTAAGAATATAGGCTTTGGAGTCAGATCTGGGTTGGAATCATACTCTGTCCCTTAAGCTGTTTGGCTTTGGGCATGTTATTTAACCTCTGAGCCTTAGTTTTTGTTTTGTTCAAATAGGGATAATATTTATCTCAGGGCTGTGTGAGTATAAAAAAAGTGTATGTAAGGGGCTTAGCACAGTGCCTCAGTAAATGACAGGATCATTAATATATTTTTGAAATAGTCACTGATTTAAAGAAATCTTTAGAGTTATCTTAAACTAAAATTAACTGTTTTTCCTTTTGGTGTACAGTTCTGTGAACTTGAATATAGGTGCACATTTATGTAACCCCAGTCAGGATACAGGACAGCTCTGTCACTTTAGAAAACTCCCTCATGCTGTCCTTTGGCATACTAACCTCCTCCCACTCCTCTCCCTGGCAGCCAGTGATTCCTTCTCTATCACTTTTTGTCTTTTCTAGCATGGTATATAAATGGAATCATATAATATGTAGTCTTTTGAGACGGGCTGCTTTCAGTCAGCTAAGTTGAGTGAAAGAGTCATAAAAAGTTGTAACATGTATTAATAGCACAACGGATTTTTAAAGATGTTAGTTGTGAAATATTAAACAAAAAAAGTGAGTCTGAAATTTTGCTTATAGAATTGTGTGTGACTGGAGTTTTTAATGTTTGAAAGTGAAATTAATGATGAAATATATAGGGGGAAACTGCTTCCCCCAGTTGATGACAGCTGTGTATGTATCAGCTTGTTTTTCTTTGTGAAGATAGTTGATCATTGGTGGGGGAGGTTCCTGTTTTTAGTTTTATTAAAGATCTGTAGAGTTGCCAGCACAGACCTGATTTGAAAAAGGTGGTGGTTTAAACATCATTAATTTCTAAAAATGTGGTCTGAAGATAACAGCTGGCTGCTTTGCCTAGACCTTCCCCAGCTTAACACTGAAAGCCTGGCTGCTCCAGAAAATCCCCCAGTGCCGGGAAACCCAGGATCTAAAAGGGCCACTTGAAGGAAATTTGAGGATTCCAGTTCATCAGATTTCATTAGTGAACCATCAGAGAGGTATTTGATACTAGTTTGTTGTCCTCTGTAAGTCTTCATTTGAGTGAGTTTAAGAAGCACTCTGGTCCATTTTCATTTTTTTCTTTCTCTTTGTTTTGGCTGCACTGCTGCGAGGAATCTTAGTTCCCCAGCCAGGGATCAGACCCGTGCGGCCCCCCTGCAGTGGAAGGTGAGGAGTCTGAACCACTGGACGATCAGGGAAGTCCCAGGTCCATATTTTTATGTTAGCAATATATATATATTTTATTTTTATTTTTGGCTGCATTGGGTCTTCATTGCTGTGCATGGGCTTTCTCTAGTTACTGTGAGTGGGGGCTGTTCTTCGTTGTGGTGTGCGGGCTTCTCATTGCGATGGCTTCTCATGGAGCATGGGCTCTAGGCGCACGGGCTTCAGTAGTTGTGACTCGCGGGCTCTAGAGCACAGGCTCAGTAGTTGTGGCGCACGGGCTTAGTTGCTCTGCGGCATGTGGGATCTTTCTGGACCGGGGATCGAACCCGTGTCCCCTGGCATTGGCAGGCGGATTCTTAATCACTGCGCCACCAGGGAAGCCCTCAGACGTGTTTCTTAACTAAGGATTCAAAGGGGATCCTGGGGATTTGATTCAGCCTTCATTTACTCTCAGAATCATATATGGGTTTTTACGCAGATGGACTGTACTAACAGTTAACTCATAACTTCACATATGTTAATCCCATTAATCCTCACAACCACCCTGTGAGGTAGTGCTACTATAAAACTCATTTTACAGATGAGGAAACAGGCCCAGAGAGGTTCTGTGACTTGCCCAGCATGATACCAGTACTAAGTGGTGTGGAGTAAGGATTCAAATCCAGGTTGGTCTTAACCACTGTACTCTTTTTTTTTTTTTCCCTAGTACGTGGGCCTCTCACTGTTGTGGCCTTTCTCACTGCAGAGCCCAGGCTCCGGACGCGCAGGCTCAGCGGCCATGGCTCACGGGCCCAGCCGCTCCACGGCATGTGGGATCTTCCCGGACCGGGGCACGAACCCTTGTCCCCTGCATTGCAGGCGGACTCTCAACCACTGCACCACCAGGGAAGCCCCACTGTACTCTTGTGACAGAAATTTGGTACCACTTTGAGGAGTGCTTCTGTAGCCACTGGTGAATATACTTAACTTTTTAGGCTCTCCTCAATATTCTGGTATAATCTCTTAGACATTTTGTTCTGAGAGAAGCTGTGATCTTGAAAAACTTCTATGTTTGTATTATACCTAAAATAATTTAAAAAACTCTCTATATAAAGTTGAAGCTTTTATCATAAATTTAAATACTTGAAAAATATGTAATTTCTGACATAAGTATTGATATTTTAAAATATTTAAATTATATATAAACAATAAAAATAAATTATAATTTATATCTTTAATATATCTTAGTGGAATGTAATACAATAAGTTGATGTCCATCGTGATCCATTTAAACATAAGTACACGATTCAAGTGTTACCTTCCTTTTTCTTCTTGAAAACTGTATTTGTTACATTTCCCCCACAAAACGTTATCCTAATAAATTTTTATGCTTGAAGGTCTTACTTTTTGTTCTTTGTTACGTATTTGTGTATAAGTTGAAATGTTAAATTTTAATTTGCCATGACCATAAAGCACTAAATGTTCATGTTCTTTTTGTTGTACTAAAATTTTATAATTACACAGTTGACCCAAACAGCAAATTGTACACATTGATACTTGGAGTAAAATTTTACTGGAAATGGCCCCTCGTATTAAAGAAGACTCTGTTGACCAGTATTTCAATTTGTCCCTTGGCTTTCTAAAGATTTTAAAATGCAGGTCAAGTATATTTAAAGGTTTTAAAATATAGTGGACCAAACTAAAACTGAAGATGGGTGAGATGCCTTCTGTACATTGTGAGATTGGGAAAATGGGAAAGGAAAACAGGCTTGATATGCTGCTTACAGGTGACAATGCAGGCACAGCGAGTTTATGAAAGTGCTGATGTGGAACTTGAGGATCTAGAAAGCTTTTTTTTTTTAAGGTAGAAATGAGTTTTCTTTTTTAAAAAACATTTATTTCTTAGCTGCGTTGGGTCTTTGTTGCTGCGCGCCGGCTTTCTCTAGTTGCGGCGAACGGGGGCTACTCTTCGTTGCAGTGTGTGGGCTTATTGTGGTGGCTTCTCTTGTCACGGAGCACAGGCTCTAGGTGCGTGGGCTTCAGTAGTTGCAGCACATGGGCTCAGTGGTTGTGGCGCTCGAGCTTAGTTGCTCCACGGCATGTGGGATCTTCCCGGACCAGGGCTCAAACCCGTGTCCCCTGCACTGGCAAGCGGATTCTTAATCACTGTGCCACCAGGGAAGTCCCTAGAAAGCAGTTTTTCTTTTTTCTTGTAGTACGTGGGCCTCTCACTGTTGTGGCCTCTTCCGTTGCGGAGCACAGGCTCTGGACGCACAGGGTCAGTGGCCATGGCTCACGGGCCCAGCCACTTCGCGGCACGTGGGATCCTCCCAGAGCTGGGCACGAACCTGTGTCCCCTGCATCGGCACGCAGACTCCCAACCACTGTGCCACCAGGGAAGCCCTAGAAAGCAATTCTTAAATTATCTATGCCCACATGTTGCATAGTCCTTGGTATAGGTACCTGAAATAGAAGACCGGTACTCAAGAAGAACTCTTGCGGTGCACTGAAAGACACCAGGATGGGCAACTTCACACTATTCCAGCAAATATATACCTGAATGTCATCAGTGAGGGTACAGATAAATGTGTATTCTCTTGGGAGTATACCATATAGCGGTTAAACAAGCTGTAAAGTGACTGACAGTGTCCCAATTTAGAACAGTAATACTCTGGATATGTATATAACTTATGAAAAATTCATTGTGATGGGGAGAGGGTAGTAGGGCAGGGGGATATGTGTAAAAATAAGGCAAATGAAGATAAAAAGGACTTTTTTTTTTTTTGTGGTACGCGGGCCTCTCACTGTTGTGGCCTCTCCCGTTGCGGAGCACAGGCTCCGGACGCGCAGGCTCAGCGGCCATGGCTCACGGGCCCAGCCGCTCCGCGGCATGTGGTATCTTCCCAGACTGGGGCACGAACCCGTGTCCCCTGCATCGGCAGGCAGACTCTCAACCACTGCGCCACCAGGGAAGCCCCAGGACTTTGTTTTTAAGAAGTTAATTATCAATTCAAGATGGTAAGCACATAAGTGTTAAATTCTTTGTACTTGGTATTTTTTAATTTTCCCTAAGTATGTGAGCAACTTAAAAAAATATTCCTCTGTGGGAAGAATATTTTGACCAACTTGGGAGTGAAAGGATGGAAAGTATTGATTAATAAAAGGGAAGTGCCAGTGAGCAGTCAGACTCAAATTACGCCACCTAAAAATAAATAGGTATACAAAGTTCGTTTTTGCCATTAAAGCCTACTTATTTTATAAATTTCAACACTTTGGAGTTCCTGTATGGTTTTCTTAGGGCCAAGCTTGGGATGCCCTGGGGAAAGGTTAGGAGCAATGCCCAAATTCCCCAGCTGCCCAGATTATCCAAAGTTCTTTAAAATATAAAATGAACATTATCCTTTCAAACTGTGTTATAGACCCAAATGCCAGATTCTTTATAGTTTTTATTCAAGCAGCAATACATTTAGAAACTGAAAAAGATCACTGTGACAGTTTCTTGATTAAAATTAAATCCCTATTAATCTCAACAGGTGAGCATTTATTTTTGATTGTAGAACTTCAGTATATCTTGCAATGACACTTTTCCTTTGGTCGTCACTTAATCAGAAAAATGCTCGTCCCAGCTCAAACATTACCTTACAAATAAAAAAGTTGAGAAGTATTAATAATTTCATAGCAAATCACTGGTACAAACTAAAATGACTTTTCTAAGGTCGTGATTAATGAAAAATGCTCCCGAAGTTAAGAATAACTTTTTTGTTATTACAGGGCATTACAGGGCAAGCTGCAGGTCTGAGGCACAGGTGCTTGGTGTTGGGTTGAACATTATACATTTACAGCTAGAACTTTCCCTAAATGCCATCTTTAAAAACGTGGAGGGAAGGACTTCCCAGGTTAGCGCAGTGGTTAAGAATCCGCCTGCTGATGCAGGGGACATGGGTTCGAGCCCTGGTCCAGGAAGATCCCACATGCTGCAAAGCAAATGAGCCTGTGCGCCACAACTACTGAGCCCACGCGCCACAACTACTGAAGCCCTCACGTTTAGAGCCAGTGCTCCGCAACAAGAGTAGCCCCCGCTCACCGCAACTAGAGAAAGCCTGTGCGCAACTAAGACCCTGCAGCCCAAAATAAATTTATTTAATAAATAAATAAAAAGCAAATAATTAAAAAAAAAAACGTGGAGGGAATTCCCTGGTGGTCAAGTGGTTAGGATTTGGCACTTCCACTGCCATGGCCTGGGTTCAATCCCTGGTCAGGGAACTGGGATCCTGCAAGCTGCACAGCATGGCCAAATAAAATAAATAAAAATGTGGAACTTTTCCAAAAATCATAATATGCATTTTCAAAATATTAACCACAGTCACTTGAAACCTGCCCTCACTTCCAAATAGACTTAACGTTTAGAACAAAGTCATGCTCCCTCCTATTGTTTTCTGTCAAGTTACTTTCATAAAAGTTACCTACCTCTATGGTGATAAGGATGACAATCATCCCTTCCAGGCGCAGCGTCCTCTTCTCAGTCAGGTGATTCCGCATCAGATCTGTTAGCTCCATGCAGTGCTGAAGCTTTTCATTCATGACCTGCATTAGAAAAATCTCAAAGTATCCTGTATATTTAAACATTCACTTACGCTAACAGTCGCATGCTTCAAAATTATAAGTTTGAAATAGGTGTGCAGTGCAAAATCACCCCTTCAATTCTTGCTCCTCAGCCCTCCCCAAAGGCAGCCTACCAGTGCCACTTGTCTCCTTTCTGTGAATCCACCCAGAGACGTTCTGTAATGCACAGATCTGACTGCAAGAAATACTTTGCATACTGAAGCTCTTATATTCATAAGACTTTGATGGAAGATCTAAAAATAAATTTTTTGATTTCTAGTTTTTCGTTGCTGCCCTTGGATTTTCAGCAGTTAATAAAAGCAAACCTGAAATACTCCTTTAGCATGGCCTTAAGATGACGAACAATGATTACCTTCTACTAAAACTGTTCCAAGCCCCGCAAACACAAAACTTGACCTGCTGCACACTCGCCACTAGATGGCACTGCCTTTTTTTTCTCCCCCGACCCCCGCCCCCCGCCCCGCC